GAGGACCGGCGCTGTGGAGACCGCCACTCCTTCCTGAAGCAGCGCCAGGAGCATACTTTCTATTTCTTGAAGATTCCAGGCGGACCCTCTCAGCTCAGCGCCACAAACCCCAACGCCTCTACTGGGGTTTCTCTAATTTTAAAGGCAACTTTTCCCCCAGTTGCAGCTCTGAGCTCTCAGGATGCTGGCGGGCCAGAGCACATGGGAGTGAGGGGTGGGGGAGTGACTAGGGCTTCCCTTACAGAACACCTTGAATGTTTTTTTTTAAGTGGGTGGGTAGGTTCTCAAATGCAGAGAAAACCCACATCTTGGTTCAGTGGCTGTCCTGTGTCCCTTGTAGGAAGAGGAAGTGCCTTGTCTGCTGAGATGAGCTCCGTTCAGCCCCTGAGCCTCAGTTTCCCTGTTTGTGAAACAGAGAACTAATTGCCCCTGCAACTGCATCACAGGGCTGTCTCAAGAGGATCAAATTTAATCAGATTCAACAAGCTGTGTATTAACACGACACTTAAACTGCTTCCCAAATGACTGGTGCTGAGGGAATACACGTGTGCATAAAATGAGATGTTGTTCTCAGAAGAAATGGAAAACGTAGAGGAAGGCACATTTATGTCAGTGAGCAGGATGCAGGGCTGAATTAGTGATTGTGAGGAGACCACGGCCCCGGGACTGCCATCTCCATAGCAGGCTGTGCCCTTGCTGGCCTGTGCCCACCCTGCCCCCAAGTGATGAGGGTCCATCACACACCCACAAAGGGGAGAACCCAGCCCGTCCTGTTGGGAGTGGAGACAGTGACCCCTGGGCTCAGGGTCTATGTCTTCTGAACCTCCTGGTGCCTCAAGCTCAGCAGAGTACCTGGCACAAGCTCAACCTCTGAGCTTTTTTTAACCATGAAACAAATTAGACGCACAGTGACCGGTATAACAGTTTGAGAACCACAGCCCTGGCCCCCACGCCTCCACTTGCTTCCCATCTTCTTTATCACCTAAGGAAGCATTACTACTGTTTAGCTTTTCCTCCTTTCAACCAGGTCTGAATGGACATTAACAGGCATCTTCTGGGATGTGTGTTTCTGCTCTCCACCATCTTGAGACTCAGTTAGTTAATGTTCCCTCTGAGGCAGGACTGATGGTGGCGGGTGCAGTTAACTCCGCTGAGTGCAGGCAAGGGGTGTGGGGGCAAAGACCCTGTGTGCCCAGCCGAGGAGGAGAGAGTTGGGAGCCCGCGGGAGCCTGAAGGCCAGGCTTGGTGACAGCTGCACCGCCTGGACCCTGGAGGGCGCACCTGTCTCAGCTGGATGCCTGTGTGGGTGGGGCCGGAGTGTGTGGAAGCTGGGGGCCCCGACCAGACGGGGTGCAGGATGCTGGGGTATCACCAAGGGCAGGGGCGAGGACGGGCCTCCTGGGGCTGAGGCCGGAATCAGTCCCTGAGCACACAGCTGCCCCCCACCACCTCTCACCCTCAGAGGAGGCCTCCGCCCGGAGTGAGGGCTGAATTGCCCATCCCCAGGCCCCCCAGTGAGCTCCATGTCGCAGGATCAGGGCATTTCTAGGTGGGCTTGTCTGGTTCTCTGCTTGGCCTGGGTCGTGTCCAGGTCCTTGGCCTTTTCCCGTCCAAGACCTTTCCAGGATGCATGTCCACCAGATACAGATGGACAAAAACTGCAGTGGGCCTGGTCAAGCTAGACTGAGCACATCCCCAGATCTGATCTCCTTCTGCCTCGGTCCCCCGAGGATCCCTTGCTGTCCTTGTACATGGTAGGCACTCAACAAACTCCTGTCCGGCAGCCCTGAGATGCTGCGCCTTGGGTTTGGTGCCGAAGCGACGTGGAAGGACCCAGAATAGATATGTCCTGTGCTGACCTGCTGACCCGCATCCAACTTGGTTTTCAAACCCCCTCCCCACTCTTCCTGGAGAGGGGGAAGGGATGACACCCCACCTGGGCCAGCTCTGGTCATGGGATCTGACATCCCAGCTATGAGCTGCGGGTGGAGGCGTGTGGCCCCAGGCCACCTGCCTGAGCCCGAGGTCAGGTCTGTCCCCTCCTCGCAGGTGACATTGAGGCAACAGCCTCCGTGATCTCCATTTCCATCTGAAACTGTGGATCCGATGCGCCTGGCACAGGACTGCTGTGGGTACAAAGCTGAGTCTACTTGCCACGCCCTCTTCAAATATAAGGCTCGTGTGATTTTTAAAAGACCTGGGATCTGAGAGCCCCCAGAATGCCAGATGGAGGGCTGATTTGGGAATGGGACCAGCTGGGCTTCTCTTTGGGCCTGAGGAGCTCCGTCATGGGGTCCTACGTTTCGCCCATATGGGCCAATGTGAGGGCTAGGGAGGCTGAAGTGGCCTGAATCTGTTTCTAAATCTGATGCTGTTGTTGGACACTGGTCACTTCTGGCTCCTCTTTCACAGGACCTCTTGAGTGAGAAAATGTGGCTGAGCTGGGAGATTTTATAGCCCTTCACTCACCTCATTCCTGGAGCAAGAGCTCCATCCACTAGGAAGCTCTGCTCCCAAGGCCAGAAAACACACACCTTATAGAATGTGCTGAGGCCACATCCAGGGAACAAAAACATCGCACTAGGTGACTGAGAAGGTGCTCAGTCTTCCCCAACTTGTTCCACCTGCGAGGCGCTGGAGCCCAAATACGGATTCTCTGGTGGAGGCAGACAGACAGCAGCCCAGGTCACTGTACGCTGTTCAGCTGAGTCATGAGCTGGACTTTGGTGACCTGAGGAGTCACAACTGAAGGCCTGAGGGAATAGAGAGCCGCATGTCATGCTAGGATTTTGTGGGACCCCCCACCAAAGACTTGCAGGTATTTTATCTATCGTCTATCTACCTATCATTAAGCTGGCCCCAAATGACCTGATTCCAGTGAAAACTCAGGTCCCCTAGAGGCCATGGGGCAGTGACTACCCTCCCTGGAGTTTACATGGCCCCCACCAAGCACCTTGAATTCAGTCAGTCTCTGCTGGTCAGTAGAGTGCCTGGCGGAGGCTGAATTCAGACACATGAACCTCTCTCTGGCAGGGATGCACAGCCCCCCTTGCTGGCTGCTGGTGGGAAGTGCACCCCTGGGTGACGAGGATGCTGGGCTGTGCTCAGCTAAAGGGACAGTCATCTCGGTGGTCAGGGGCTGGTGCAGAGGCAAAGAGGAACTGCGGCCCAAGGCCGGAGCAATCTGGAGGCTGCTTGCTGCTGGGCTGGGTGGGGGCGGGAAGCCAGAGCCATTTCAGACCAGTATACCCGCCCCCTGGAGAGCCCAGGCTGCCCCCCATCCCCACCTCTGAGGGTGTCCACCTGGGGCTTCTCCTTGAAGGTCCCCACATTCTGCTCCCGTCACCCCAACCACACATCCTGATCCCCATGCTGTCTTCTCCATCCAGCAGATTCGGTCAGATCTTCAGAGCCTGAGGGATTTCCCTGCCCTGTGACTCACTCAGGACACCCGCAGGGAGCCCCAATCCCAGGGGTCACCACACCTTGCTGAGTGGGGCAGCTGTACTTGCCCTATCATCCACCGTGGAACCTGTGTTGAGGCTGCGGCAGACAGACCCCACCTGTCGTTCCTCAAATGCTCTGTGCATCCTCACCCACGTGGAACTCCGGCCCCTCCCTGTGGGTCAGCGAGATGACAAATTCTTTACTTGAGTTGAACCCTTGTCTAGTGGGGAGCCGGCTGTCCACAGGCCCAGATGTCTGTGGATTTGGCATCTGCCTTTGCTTTGCTACCAGGAGCAGAATCTTCAGGGGGTAAGAATCCTGGGGGGTGAGACCCTTGATCACTGAGGGGAAGCTCAGCTGATCCTGAAGACCAGGGAGGGGCTCTCAAGAGGCCAGGGGGAGTCATCACAGCCCAGGCCTCACGCCTCTTCTGGCGCCAAGGTCATTGACAGCAGAGCGCCAACGTGAGCATGGTCTCTAGTTGGTCAAAGATGGGACAGCTGCCTTTCGGAGGGGTCAGCCTTAGCTCAGGGGCTGATTCCACACTTAATGGTTTATTGACAAAGTGGGTCAACAGATGTCAACATCCGTGGCAACAAAAGCAGGTGGGCTTTGAGGGGATGAAACAAAACTGTCCTCAGGGCTGGTGCTGAAGCCAGTCTGCTGGGCCCCTGAGGGCTCCTCAAAGTCTCAGGGGCCCTGGAAAGGCAGCTTAGTGCGGTGGCCACTGGGCATTCATGTCTGGAAGGGACAGCGGCTGTTGGTCGATGAGAAGGCGGCCCATGGATGATTTTAAACCCAGAGTCTGCCCCAAATGTGAGGTGGCCTCTAGCATCTGGAGAGGTGCAGGACGACTGGCAGGGCTGAGGGATGACCTGCTCAGCTCTCGGTGTCAGTGGGCCCTGTTCCCAGGCGGCTGTGTGGCCCCACTGTGGCGTCTCCGGCGAGTGCTAACGGCGCAGTGACTGAGGGGCATGGCTTCCCCCACAAGGCTCTCCTTGGGACCTAGATTCGTTCCCTGGAGAGAGTTGGAATAACTGGGCAAGCGGGGAAGCCTGGTGAGGTAGGGGTACCTAGTGGGGGGACGCCTGGTGAGGTGGGGACACCTGGTGGTGTTGGGACACTGAGTGAGGGGACGCCAGGTGAGGTGGGGACACCTGGTGAGGTGGGGACACCTGGTGAATCAGGATGCCCAGGGAAGCAGGAGACCAGCAGGCCACAGGCATCTGCAAGGATGTGGGAGGGCCTCACTTGTGCGAAGACGACTTTTCCATGGAGTTCACCTAGGCTCTTGCCCACCCTGCCCCACTCACCCCACCACCACTGCCAGAGACATGCTGAGAACATACACCAAAGTCTTTTCGGACCCCTAAGAGTCTTGACCCACTAACATCTGGGCCCAGATGTGATTTCACTCTTTGAAAACCACGGCTGAGGCCATGTGCCAGAAGAGGGGTGATGGATTAGGATCTGGCTGTTCAGGGGCAGCCTGACTTTGCTGTTTCTGGGGAGGGTGACGCTGTGGAGGTTACAGGCTCTGGTCTCCATCGCAGAAAGGGTTTTGACAAGAATGCAGTGAGCTGGCCAACGGGAGGCTATGCCCTCAGGGAGACCGAGGAGGCGGCTTCCACAGGGCACTTTGTGGCCTGCAGGGTGGGCCTGTCCCCGCTCTACAGCTGCTGTGTTGGTGGTGCCAGGTGCGTCACCTTCTCTGACCCTCAGCTCTGACTCCCAAACCCCTGGCGCTCTCAGGACTCTGTGGGGAAAGGGCCCAAGGACTGGGGCAAGGCCTGCCTGTGACTGCGGGTCAGCTTGGGTCTAGGGAGCATGGCAGCCTCATACTCTTAGAAGACGGCTTTCGGGCAGCAGCAACTGACACAGTCCCCTCCCCCGCAAGGCCGAGGGGGCCACAGGGGCCACCCTTAAGTGAGCTTCAGGGCCACATGCGGCCGATCATCAGTCATCCTCTGATGGTTTGGCCCTGACCCCCACACCCTCAAGGCTACAAGGCACCGTGTGTGGTCATGGTGCTGGCCCTGGGAAGGCCTGGAGGGGCTGAGGGCATGGGGAGGCCTGAGTGTTCAGACGGAGGCTGAGGGGATGGAGGATGGATGTGTGGCAGCAGCCCTGAGGGGAATGGAGCCCCCGATGGTGGCAGGGCGGGTGGGAGGGACTTAAAGCCAAAGATAGGCAACTGTGGGCACCGCTTAAGTGAAAAATAGGCATTTTAGGACAAATACAAAGAGCACTTCATACAATGGCTCATGATGAATGAACTGGAGAGGCTAAGTTGAAAGGATGGGAGGGTGGCACCAAGCCAGGGGACGGGTCCTTGGGGCCTGTGACCACCCATCTCTGCACCCGGTGGCTGAACCTGGCCTTCAGCCTGTGTTCACCAGCATCCTCTCTCATCACCTTCCCTGAGAGTTGAGGACCAAGAAGTGTGTCCACCTGCCCAGGATCACAGCTAAAACCTGGGTTGGTTCGGTCCCAAATACAGTCTCTCTCATCAGATTACTCCAACTCTTCCAGAAATCTCTGGGCTTCTTCCATATATCCTGTTTTGAGTGTGGTTGGTTTGTTGTTGGTTTTTATTTTTTTTGGCCACGCCGTGTGGCTTGTGGGATCTTAGTTCCCTGACCAGGGACTGAACCTGTGCCCCATGTGTTGGTTTACGCTGGTTGGTGGACCACCAGTGAAGTCCCTAGGGCATCCATAGATTTGGAGCATCCATAGATGCAAATACCTGATGGATCTCAGTTTTGACTGAGGAAGTCAGTGCTAATAATTTTCAGAATAGGTGCGTGCTAAGTTGCTTCAGTCATGTCCGACTCTTTGCGACGCTATGGACTGTAGCCTGCATGGATTTGTCCATGGGATTTCCCAGGCAAGAATAACTAGAATGGGTTGCCATTTCCTTCTCCAGGGGATCTTCCTGACCCAGGGATCGAACCTGTGTCTCCTGCATTGCAGGCAGATTCTTTACCATTGAGCCACCAGGAAGTGTTTAAGGTCGGCGAGAAGAACATCAGGTGAGGGGATCAAACCTGAGTCCTTATCCCAGGACTGTGGGTCTTAATTTCCACTGCACCCTGAAATCACCAGGCTGCATCCCTGATCAATCACTTAAGATTTCTGGGGCTGGGACCCAGGCAGCAGGGCCGTCCTAAGTGCCATGGGCGGAACCACTGCTCTGGAGCGAAGTCCTCCGCATGCGCTGAGGTATCAGGATGAAATATTTACGGACATGTTCACGTAGGAACGTCAGCACCTGGGGACGCTGTGACCCCCCGCCAACCCCAGGACGCCCCGCTACTGCTCCTGGTGGCTCTGCAGCCGCTTAAACAACAAGGAAAAAGCTTCGGTGAAACCCCAGGATAGATATTAATCAGAAAGGAAAGGTCTAAGCTAAAAGAAAAAACAAAAAATCTAGAAGATAATTTTTGTTAAATAATGAACACTCGAGAAACAGCCATGAAATGGTATTAAAATGTCTGTGATTACTTATTTCTCAGCATTCATCTGATAACTGAAGCAGCAGGAAGCAATAGTTGCACTTAAAAAAATGACAAGAAAATAGCTATTCATTTAGTCGTGTCCTCAGTAAGATCACTAGTGTCACTGTCGTCACCAAGGTGTCAGCAGGTGGGGAGAAGCATACCCCGGGGTGTCCGCGGCTCCTGGGCCTGAAGTTCCTGGAGCAAACCTGGGTCCTCCAGGGAAGAGTCCGGGGAGGGGCCGGCCTGCCCCTGGCCCCATATCAACGAGGACCCCAGGACTGCATATTGCTGCGTGGTGGCTGCGGAGGTGGGCGTGTTCCAGAGGAGGCCTGACATTCCTCGGCAGGGGACAGCGTGGAGGGAGCGATGTTCTGGGCCTGGGGGCGATTCTGGTTTTGCATTCTCAGGGCTGGACTCGTCTGAAGACCCGTGACAGCTGGGGGTCCTTCCAGCAGCTGCTCTGTCTCTCCCCCTGCCTGGCCTATTTCCTTCCTGCAGGGACGGTGCATGGACGGAGGGGGCGGTGCTGTCAGGCAGGGCCACCGGTAGGATAGCATGTGTCCCCTGCCCTCTTCCTGTTGCACCATATTCCAAAATAAATAAATACATAAATGAACACGTGTTCCTGTTTGTCTGTTGCTAATGCTCTGGCATCCTGGGCACTGGCCATTAATCCACCAGGATCCTTGCAGAGATGGCCTTGAGGGTCAGGATCTTCAGAGCATCCACTGGGAATGGGTCAGCAGTGCCCCATCTGTCCCAAGCTCTACACAGTGCTGTGAAAATGATATGAAAGGGTGAAAACAAAGGGAATCCATAAATCCTAGGGCTTCGTGGCGTCACTGGCAATGACTTACACTGTGACAGCCTCACACAGGTGTATCTGCACCTGTGTGTCTATCCTGGCCAGCCCTGCTCCTCTGCATCTGCACATGACTGGCCCAGGCTCCTCGTGCGCCCGGGGAAGCTCATAGGTGGTTGCTCTTGGAGAGGTAGGCGATGAGGGCCACGGCCACACCCACGTAGATGCCGGTCCCTATGGTGATGGAGAGCACGGCCAGGAAGAGGGCCCGCCGGGAGCTGGTGCTGGCCTGGTGGAAGTCCCCCTTGGCCACGGCTTTGTTCGTCTGCAGAGGGAGGAGGGAGAAGAGAAAGGGAGCCAAGATGAGTGAGGGGAACAGAGAGAGGACTGGCCGATGGGAGGCCATCCATGCTCCCAGACTATGGGAGGGGAGGCAGAGGGGCTGTCACTCACCACTGTTCCCCCCTCCCCCCGCCCCTGCCCTACAAGGCAGGCAAAGCTTAAAAGAAAGAAAGCGAAGCCCCAGGGATGCCCAGGCCGGCAGTGGTTAGCTGAGCACCAGCTCCTGGAGTCCTGGGTCTCAGGCACCAGGGTGGAGGGTGGGGATGTCATAACTTGGTGCCTTCTTCTGCCTGGTAGACACTCGAATGATAGTTCTACAGTGTGTTCACACTCACCTCCTCTAGTCCTTACAGCATAGGGGCCCACGGGGAAGGAAACTGTAGTTCTTACACCTGGAGAGGAGTCTGCCATCTAAGATCGTCCAGTCTGCTGAGGACACTGAGACTCTTCAGCCAGTGGCTGGGGATCTGGGTGCTCCACGCTCCCTTCCCGCCATGGAGGGGGTGGTAAATTCACCCACCAGGGAAACGACTCTGGTTGAGACCAACGCCTCTATTTCTGGTCACCCAGCTGCACAACGACATGTTGGTTTCACTAGATTCACATTCCGTGGGGTCATGAGTTGGAGGGGATCGTGGAGGCTTTGGGTGTTGTGTTGGATTTGGTGCTTTGTGGTGGTGCCCACCTCCCCACCGCCAGCCCCGTCCTCCTTGTCCCTGCGACCAGCGGGGCCCTGGGCTCTGGGGACCGTATATGGTTCAACTGTGACATCATGGAGGGCCGGCCCCCTGAGTGACGGCAGATGAGGGTGGAGGCCCCCCAGGGATAGCCATACCGACCATCGTAGCCCTGACCTGGAAGTCATCCCAACATCCAACCAGAGCAGAAGAATAGACAGCAACGGTACCTGAGGCAGTGGGCTTCCCAGGTGGCGCAGTGGTAAGAAAATCTGCCTGCCAAGGCAGGGCAGCTCTGTTGTAACGGAGGCGCTTAAGTCTGTTCTGCCCAGCCTGGTGGCCATGAGAGCAGCTGCGGCCTGCGGCTACAGAGCAGTGGGGTTGTGGTGAGTGTGACTATGAGCTTTTAATATCATCTGATTTAAATTAATTTAAATGTAAATAACCAAATGTTGGAGGCCACCATGTTGGGTAGCAGACACCCAGAAGAAATGAGCAGAGGGTCCCACAGGGAGCAGGGAGGAGAGGAAGCCCAAAGGAAGAGGGAGGGATGAACCCAAAGGAGGTGGAAACCCCGGAGGGTTGGTTCAGGCATCAGTGCTGGGGAGCTGATGGTGGAGGGGGGTGGTGTCCCTGCAACCAGAAAGTTTCACATACACATCTGCCTCTGCATTTACCTGTGCATTTGTTTTGGTGGCTCAGTGTCAGGCAGAGATAATGAAACAGCAGCAAGATAAAGAAGCCTGGGGTGACCCTGTGAGGGGGGAAGGCCCGTGAAATCCACAGATGATGGGGTCCTTAGGACTGGGGTGTGGAGTGGGCGTCCTGGCCGGGGTCCACTGGCCTTGCTCCCAGATGGAACCTCTCAGGGACTGATGCTGGGCTCCAGGTCTCAATGACACATGGCAAAGCCCAGAGCTCCATCCCTGCTGGGGTACCTCCCCTGACCCCCAACCCCTGGGAGATGATGCTCCCAGGGTCTGGCACTGGACTGACTTTCCCACAAGCTTTTGCCAAAGTCCTCATTTCCTTTGGCTACAAAATACCTACTGTTGTTTGAGGTTCAGGAAAAACATGACTTTGTCTGCAATATATCCATGCTTTGATTTTCTTTCTTTCTTTTTTTATTTTTGACCACATGGGTTGGGGGATCTTAGCTCCCCCACCAGGGATCAAACCTGGGCCCTAGCAATGAAAGCATGGAGTCCTAAGCTCTGGACCACCAAAAGTTCCCATTGCTTTGTTTTTCTTAAGGGTATTTTGTATTTTTATTATTAATGTTATTTCTACAGTCTCTTATTTTAGGGGCAGGAACCGCTAAGGTTGGATGAGTCCACATCCACGTGGCTGTCTGCTTGGGTTGAGGGGCCGGGTCCAGGTACAGCTGGGATGGACTGGGCAGGACACAAGGCTGGTGCCAGACTCCCATCTCCAAGGAGCGTGAGGGACGCACTCTCTGCCTCCATAACCATCTCTCTGGAAATCTAGAGCACGCTGGGTGCTTTATGGCTCATTTTTCCTCTAGCACCAATATCTGTCGGGCTGAATTACATTTCTTTGCATTATCACAAAGCTGATTTCCCTTATTTATTATTGTCTCCTGCTTGCTGTGTGCCGACGGGCACTAGGAGCTGCATGGGAGGAGGAGGCGACCGTGTGGCAGTTTAACAGGCTCCTTCGGGGAGGGAGACCCTCTGCGGCCGCATCTCACTCAGCCCCACACATGCATTTCTTATGTGTGTTCAGTTTCACGTGCATTGCTATGACCCCTCTCTCCCCCTTTTATTTATTTATTTTAAAAATTTTATTTATTTTCAATTGAAGGATAATTGCTTTACAGTATTGTGTTGGTGTCTGCTATTCATCAACCTGAATCAGCCATAGGTAGACATATGTCCTCTGTCTCTTGAACCTCCCTCCCACCTCCCTCCCCATCCCACCCTCCTAGATTGCCACAGAGCTCGGGTTTGAATTCCCTGAGTCATACAGCAGATTCCTATGGGCTATCTATTTTACATAGGGTGATGTCTGTTTCCATGTTACTTTCTCCATATATCCATATAAAGCAACTTTTCTATTTTAACTTATTAAGAAAAATAAATGTTGTTAGTTAAGTCTCAATGGCAGACATATCAGCTATGAAACAAATGTATTCCCCATGCATGAATGAAACCTGATGGGAACACAGCCCCTCCCCACCGCCCCCCGCAAGGCCACCCACCCCAACCTGGCCTTGGCTTGGGTCACAGATGGAACCCAGGCCTTAAGACCAGGGCGTGGAGTGGGCATCCTGGCCGGGGTCCACTGGCCTTGCTCACAGATGGAAACTCTCAGGGGCTGATGCTGGGCTCCAGGTCTCAGTGACATGTGGCAAAGCCCAGAGCTCCATCCCTGCTGGGAGATACCTCCCCTGACCCCCTACCCCCGGGAGATGATGCTCCCAAGGTCTGGCACTAGACTGAATTTCCCACAAGCTTTTGCCAAAGGAGGGGCTTCCTATAGCAGTGTTTGTGGGCCCCTGTCAGCAAGGTTGTTTTCTAGGGAACACGACAAAAACATCAGAGGGGCAACGGCCCCTGTGCCATCTTGTGTGGACGCCTGAGTGGCCTTGTCTCCATCCTCCATCCTTCAGCTGAGCTTAGAGGAGTCCCCGACCTCATGGCTCCTGAGAGGCACCCCCTTCCCCATGCTCCTCCTCTCTCCCTGCAGGCGTCTCCCCGTGCTAGTCACGGGCCCTGCCGCACAGAAGCCTGCCTTCGTTACCGCTGGGGACTAATCACTATGAACTCATGCTTAGCTTAATATAGGCACAGATGGATACAAACAAAAATAATTTTACAAATAGACCACTTCTATATACAAAGATGTTGTCATTGTTTAGTCAATAAGTTGTGTCCAGCTGTTTTGTGACTCCACAGACTGCAGCCTGCCAGGCTCCTCTGTCCATGGGATTTCCCAGGCAAGAATAATGGAGTGGGTCGCCATTTCCTTCTCCAGGGGTATTTCTACATATAGAACTAATAACATGTGAGTATACACATGTGTATTTCCTATTTCCTGGCTCTGTTACCAAGAAAATCCAGAACCAATGACACCCCAGTAGCAACAAGCATACACAGAATCTAGACTGCGGTTTCTAAAACCATTTTTCCCAGAGGAGGGACTAGACCTCCATGGGGAAGCAGCTGATTTTACAACTCGGGCAGGAAATATACAAGACGAGCCTGGGTGGCATTTTAGAGTACAGGAAAGGAAAAATACTCCAAGATCAAAAGGAGAGGGGCATGTCAGGGGGACATAGGAAATGCTCCCAATGGTCAAATGACAAAACATTGGGTTGGCTGAAAAGTTTGCTTGGGTTTTTCTGTAAGACAGCATGGAAAATCCAAATGAACTTTTTGGCCAACCCAATAATGTAGTATTGGATTATAAGTCAAAGTGTAAAATAAAAATCCATACTGATGTTTGGTATGGATGTTTGATCCATACTGATAAATAAATGATCAGATGGATCAGTTCCCTGAAGAGAGGAGACAAATCTCCCATACAGACAAATTCCAAATCATCTAGGTAGTTCCTCCACCCTCAGGGAAGTGAAGCACAAGCCCCACCTGTGGACAGTGGGTGGCACAGTGACATCCTAGGGCTGAGGATGAAACAGAGAGGGAGGAAGAATGACTCTGGGGTGGAGAAATCCGACAGTCACGACCCTGGCCAGGCGACCAAGGTCAGCACCCTCAGCGACAGGTCATGTTGATGGGGTACAGCCCTGACCTTCACCTCTGTGCTCCTCCTCCCCAAACCCATAACCCCAGTCTGAGCAGGAGGAGAGCATCCAACAGCATCCCATGCTGTACCCAACCAGGGCTCCTGGCAGCTGTCAGTCATCAGGAATAAGGGACACCTAAGACACAGTCACAGCCCAGAGGAACCCAAGGAGGTCTGACCACCCAGTGCTGGGTGGATCCTGGATGGGACCTTGGGGCAGAAAGAGGGCCCTGGGCAGCTGCTAAGGTGATCTGGACAGGGTGCTTAGAGTACGATGCTGTGGTAACACCAGTCATCACCTGGGACAGATGAACCCCACGTGAGATGCTGATGAGGAAGCCGTCAGTTCTTCACCACCTCTGTCCATTTCCTGCTGAGCTAAACTGGCCTAAGATAAGCCATTTATTTAAAAGGCAGGGTATGGATGGGGCAGGTGAGAGGCCCGACAGGTGCACGTTGCCCGGGCTCCATCCCTGAGAGCCTGGGGGAGACAGAGGGAGCTTGGGACGAACATACCTGCTCAAATCCAGCCCTGGTG